TCTGTTTGTGATTTTTTGGGGGAAAGCCACTATGGCAGAAGGAAAATAATATATATTCTTTTCCACTGATGTGTAAAATGCATGTGCATTTTCGTTCAAGTGCTAATCTGCATCAATCATATCCCAATCTTAATTACAAATTAGCGTTAAGGGGAGGCATCTCCTCCATCGCTGCCTTTTTCGGCCGGCGGGACGCAGCAGACCTCACCCACTCCGCACTTACCCAGCAACTGAGGGAAACCTAAACCTGTCCTATGGGCGAGAGATGAACCCCATTTCTGCTTTCCCCGCGAAAACACTCTCGTAACGCCCGCTACTGCCATGTCCCTCCTGCCCGACGGCGGAACTGGCAGACGCCTTTTCCTTCGGCTGCTTTGCCAGCGACAGAGCATGCGCAAAAGGGGGGGGAAGGGGACACGTCGATTAGGCATGCGCATGCGCCAACTCTTGCTTTGCAGTATAGAACAACGAAAACCGCTTCGAGTGCATCTATCTATAAGATACAATAGAGCTTCTCTATAGTAGCTCTTCCGATTTATACATTTACACTGATAAGTCTGTTCTTTGCAAATTTTACTGGCCGATGGGTTGTTTACATTAGGTTTTTTTTTTCTTTCCTGTTTTTTGTAATAGCTGACAGCTGAACACCAAGGACCCCCTCATTTATACATTCATTAATGAAACGTGGTTTAAGAACTGGATTTAAAAACTAGTCTGAAGACCGTGATCTATGTTAGACTGGTGCTTTGAAAACACAAATAAAACAGAACATGACATGAAATGTATTACTAATACATACATTATTATCTTGCTGTGTTTGTCTATTGAAACAAAAACAGACAACTGCTGATTTTTCAACTAGCAAATTGTTAGAGCATTTCAGTAGTCCAGGCCATTCCGATTACTGCCTGTTTTTGAACAAGAGGTTGTTGAACTCACATGCATCAGTTGATTCAGGCAATTCCAGAACGTTTCAACAAACTGGATTATAAAAAACACTAATTATTGATAAGGTAGTTGCAACGTGTCTTGTGTAATCTGCATAACTACTCTAACTTCCCCTATAATCAAGCCACTCAATGCATTTAATGAACTGCAATTTCATATGAACTTTAATCAAATTTGTTAGTTGGAAAAATGCTAGTCTTTCTTAATATTGTCAGAGATACAGATGTTACATTCTATCATGTTCCTATTTATAAGGGATTTTGCCTGATGTTTACCCCTCCTCCCCTTCCTATGTTGATGGACGGAATTTCTTTTCTTTTCACCAGTGTGAGAGCCAGTTTGGTGTAGAGGATCAGGTAGCAGGAAAGAAACTGCAAGAATGGTTAGAACGTAGTACTGCATAGCTAATTCACTGCTCACTCAAATTTGATTCTGACCAGCTGAAGGTTGACTCCACTTTCCATCCTTCCAAGGTCATTAAAATGAGGACCCAGATTGCTTGGGGCAATATGCTGACTCTGTAAACCAGGGCTGTCAAACTCCTGGCCCATAGGCCGGATACATCATGCACTGGCCATGCCCACGCCCGGTTTAGTGAATGGTAAAAGTCCCGATACATCATGTGACGCTGCCTTGACAGTGTGTGTTTGACACCCCTGATGTAAACTATTGAGAGGGCTGTAAAGCACCATGAAGTGGTATATAAATCCAAGTGCTATTGCTTATAGGTCTCAGATCCCAGTTGGGTGGACCTTAGACTAGTCACTTTCAGCTCTGGGAAAGAAGCAATGGCAAACCACATCTGAAAAACCTTGCTGAGAAAACCGCAAGGACTTGTCTGGGCAGTCTCTGAGAACTGGACATGATTGAAGGAGGGGGGGGAATCTGGTGTGATGTTGACCACTAGGAGGCAACATGAGTCATTACATCCTTTACTGAGACTTTTCAGTCACAGGCAGCCAAATGTTATTCTGTGGGGCTCAATCCTTTAGCATGAATTAAATTCATAGACCTCTATAGTTTAGATAACATATACGGTATATTAGCTTTCAGAGATCTCCAAGTCTTGGTACTCAAAAAGGATCTTTTTTTTTGTAACTTTTTTTGGCAAAAAAGTAATCTTGAATTTAATGAATGTATTCCAGATACGCCATGTTAGATTGCTACATAATTCAGATTTAATGATAGATTTAACAACTGAATTAATTTTGTACACATTTTTAAATTTATCACGTGGATTTTCATATTTTGTTTTTCTCACTATATTATACTATTTAGTGTATGTCTATTTTATTACTTTAACAGTAAACATTTTTAGAAACAAACCTATTCTAATCTGGCTGAATTGGTGCACTGAGTTCCTTAAACAATGTTGTCTATTGGAACTGTGCCTTTTCTGTAACAACTCCTACCTTACTGGTATTTGGAAAGTCTCTGAAACTCTTTTCCCCACACCTTTTCTTCTTTTCCTTTGTCTCCATTACAAATTTTCCACCATCTTTGTTAGCTTTGTTTTCTGATGGTTTTGTCTTTTTTCTGTTGTTTTTAAAGAAATTTGAGTCACTCAGAGTTCGGCTGCATATAACATTTAATGAGTTACTACTGTATACAATAAATAAGTATTTAATAAAAGCCAACTTTGAAATGAAATCAGATGGCAGCGCACCTTCAACTAACCAACTAACCTTCAACTACTTCTATGATCGTAGATATTTACGATATTTAGCTCAGTCCATTCTGTAACTGCATTAACAGCTACAGGGAATCTCAAATCTCTTAGGTTCCCAGAAAATTATTGAAAAATCAGACTTGAATTTGAAAATGTTTTAACATTTATTTAAATGTTGCCATTACAACATGCAAGATACAAAAAAATAGAAAACCTGTAAAATTTATATCGAAGTAAAATTAAAATATTCATTAGAAACAGTGAAACCAATGGCATTAATTTTTGGAAATTATCTTATAACATTGGTGAAGCAAAATTTTCAAACTCCTTTTCCTTCAGAAGACACAAATTTAAGTTTTTCTTTTGTATTTTTTATTTTTTAGTGTGGGATGGATCTAGATGAATTGTGTCGAGAACAAAATTCTGGAAGCAATCCACCTTTCTATTAATACAAACTTAATTTTGATAGATTTCAATGGGCTTACTTTAATATGATTAAGTCTGAATTAAACTTAATGCCTTTTTCTCTGGTGAACAAAAACACAAGTAAATACCAGTAAGTTAAATAACATATATTACACAGTGTATATACAATTAAAGTTTAATACTTCTTTATTTATTTGCATTTAATTAAAAGAAAAACAACTTTAAGCCCTGATTCAACAATTTAAATGCAAGTTTTTTGTGTGATTTTTCATGTAAATGCATCCGAAGATATGTGGCATCTCTGAACTACTGTTATCATGCTACTTGGCACCATACACTATACTAAATTCAGTATATTTCAATAACTATTTTTGAAAAGTGGTTTATTTATAATTTCTTTAATGAGATTTAAGATTTTTCATTTAGTGCACTGAAAATATGGCATGTATAAAATCAAAATATTAAAAGGCAACATCAAATACAAGCATGATTCAAAATCCAAACTTCCTCTGAATACAGTACTTAAAGATGATAAGATTATTTTAAATGAAATGATCTTTAAGGAATATATAATCTTAAGAACATAACATGGTGATCACTTGAATGCATAATTTTTTAAAAACATGGTATGGCAAGTGCTAGATATAGGTTCCAGACCATCAATTAATTTACCCACTGAGTCTGGAATCAGTGGTTAGTGATTTAGTCCAGTATCCCTCTAAGATTATCTTTTTTATAATCAGCACTAAATAATTTTTTGATCAGAGTTGCCTGAGCTTAAACCCGGAAGTATTTGCATAATGCACATGCTCTGTTAACTGAATTATGGTCCCCATACATTTCTTCAGACATGAGGAACAGAAAGAAGGACTGTACTGCACTTTATTCAAGAGAAATGCTTTGATAGTTTCCTCAGTACATTAGTGAAACATTTTTTTCTATGTTAACAACATAAAGAGTGATCTAGAATATGAAATCTGAAACATAGCACTAAAATGAATGTGTAGTAGAACTGTTGCAATTTTGTTTATGATGCAAAATAAGTTTTCATGGCTTCTATTCAGACACCTACCAAATTAGCTGCAAAATATGTCTGTGTGCCAAAAAGAAATGCTTCATCATCAACGGAAATATAATTCAGAAAAGATTTGAAGATTTTTCTTCATGATTGATCTTAAGTACAGTATATCCTAAGAAATTTTTCGTTCTAGTTTATAAGCCAATTTAGGCTGGGAGAATATTCAATTACATTCAAATATTTATTTTATATGGGAAAGTTGTGAATAGTTGTTCCAAAGACTTGTAATTTTACACACAAAAACCAAGTTATTTGGGGAGGTCCTTACATGGTTATGGCTTTTTAATTTTGGTTCTTAATTCTACTACGCTAGTATGGTGAAGGAATACTTTTGTAAAGAAATCGTAATTTGCTAAGAAAATAAGCAATAGCCTCAGTAGAAATGCAGACATAATTGCTCACTATAGATTTTTATCTGATTCTATCCTCTAAAGAAGAAAGCTAAAATACCTAAAGATATCAATTTTGTTAACATTCAAAATAACATCCAGCATTTCAAAGATACAGATAGAAAGATTTTTAAAACACTAGTATATATAAAAGAATTTAAAAACTGTTCTATTACATAAAATTAAATCTCTACACACGGAGTATGAATCTTTGGTTGTGTTTTAAGACAAAAAACACTGCAAACAGTAGTTTAAAATTTGCTATAAAATACTTGTAAGGAAAAGAACATAAAATTGTTCATAAACCCTGTACATTAAATATAGAGGCATCATATCTTTTTCTTTCACTTCTTAATACAAAATACTATACTTAAAAGTATAGCAATACTGTTAATGACATTTTTTTTTCCATAAGGAAAGTTCAGCATGGTAGAATTTGTAAGAAAATGCCACATAAATTGGCTTATGGCTGTCCGGTTATTCATTTTTAGAGGGTTCTTATCTTTTAAGTAGGGTTTTTTTTGTGTTATGTCAACATCTAATGAATCAAATACATAACAAAATAAAGTCCCATCAGAATTTCATGTTTCCTTACATATGATGCATTTCCTTTTGAAATTAAGATTAGTTCTATTGATAGAATTTTATACATATGACTTGTCAATGGCTTTCCACTCTCAAAAACACAGCTATTATTGCATTATGCCCTACTGTCGAAACTTTGCACTATATTACTACAGCATGAAGTGTGTGTATCCTTCTGCTCCTGTAACTATTACATCCATCCATATTCGCATAGCTTCTGGTGATGGGGCCACCATATAATATATTCTGTCATGAGTTTTAACGCTGAAGGTAAGCAATGGATTAGGGCTCTGGAAAGAAAGTAGAAGTTTATATAATTATTATTATACATTCTGAAACAGATGGAAATGTAATATTGAATGTTACATTTTTACTCTTTTTCTTGAATAATTGTGAAATAAAGAATGTAGCTGAGTTGAAATATAAATTGAGTGCATAATTGTATGTGCGATTTTCATTACTAGTTATTGATTTCGTTAAAATAAACATTTATTTTAATCCTGGCTCTGCCCTCTTAGGAATGTGGCTAATGGCAGTCAATGAACACACTGTCTCACACACAGACACACACAAATACAAATACATGTGACATATAATGTGTCATATAAACATTACCCTACACTATTTGTATTGTTTATCTAGCTTTCCTTTCTGTATACTGTTTGTTATTTTGTGGTGAGGAACTAATTTAAAATCAAAATTATCTTATTTTGGGTAAAAAGGGAATATGTCCCAACATTATTGGTTATGTTGGCTGGCAGTTGTAATTTTTGCTGCTCAGATTTTATACATTTTAGGTTTCAAAATAGGATTTTGAACAGATTCCAGGTAAAAACACAATACTTTTCTAGTGACAGTGAACCTATGATATGTGTGTCACAGATGACACACCATGCCATTTTTGATGACACACCAAGCCTTTTAACCCTTTGGAAGTTCTGCGAGAGGGCCTGGCACAACCTCTGAGGCATCTGAAAATTGTGCAAACATTCTGGCTCCAGAGGCAATCCAGAGATGCCTTTTTTGTCCAGGATGGGGATGAAGTGCATGCGATACACCAGTAGTCAAGTTATGCATTTCTAAATTTTAGATATGCTGAGCCCAAACAGTTTGTCATCACTGCGTATTTCTGTAATGAAATACTAGTTATCTATTGTAATTGCATTTATTGTATTAGCTATAAATTACTATATGTTGGCAGAGAAGCAAAGACACTAGCACAATACCATGATCTTTATAAACTGTCAAAATCAGAATGTGTATAGGATCTATAGTCTCATTAAGTTTTTTGAACATATTTTTGCCTCAGTTTCATTACAGTAAAAAGCTTATTTAAATGTGGATACTATACAACCTAAGCATAATCATGAGCTTGATCAAAATATAACATTTATTTGTAAATTAATTTTTAATTAATGGTAAGAAAGTATTGATATTTAAAATTTCTTACAATCTGGATAGTACATTTCATTTCAAAGGATTTATTAATTTTTCTCGATTTTCTCTTATATTTTCATATACTGTTCTTCAACCCATCAGCTTTTTGCTATTAAGTCACCTTTTCTATTATTATCTATATATAATAATAGTGTCTATTTCATCTAAACATTAAAAATATATTTTAATAAAAGCAAGATATGCATCTTTTCTTACCTTGCAAGCATTCTTTAAATGATCATAATAAACTTCTTCAATGGCTTGGAAATAAATTACTCCTTTTAATTTAGTTTCATGTTTGTCTAGAGTAAAATAAAAAAAAACCTGGGTTGAAACAAACAAGCCATCATAGAGATTACAGATTACCATTAAGACCTCTATTTAATTTAAAATAAACTGGTGTTTTACTTGGATACCAATTTGATTTGACAATACATTAACACATCAGAATATCAACGAGGCATACTCACAGTAAGGTACAGTATTTTTATCTGGAACACATATTTACTGTGTCCCAAGATGAATCTATCACTCCATCAACTAACCAATGGATCAGCCAGTTTGTCTGTCTGTAGTTGGTTCCCAAAATTATTAACCATTTGGCACACGACTGTATTTTTTATTTTCTCTATTTCAAACCTAATAAAAGCTTTTAGCTGTGAGTTGAAATACTAGGTAGAGAGAGATTACTGATGGTAGAACAAAAGGTGAAGAAGGCCATTATTAATCTCTCAAGAGAGATAGCACAGGAACAAAAGTCAGTCACACAAACTATATTTCTTTAGGCTACATTTGCCTTTGCACAGGCTTCAAAAATATCAGCAACTGATTCTCTGTCTGGTTGCTGGGTGGGCATGACCATGGTAGGCATGGCCTAATCGGCCTCCTGCACCATGACGGGAGGGCATTTCACCCTCCCCGGGCTCTGGTGGTTTTTCTTGAGTCTCCGGGAGGGCGAAAATGGCCTCTGGAGGCCGCAAATGAGCCTCCGGAAATTCCGGGAGGTCCATTTTTTGCCCTCCCCAGGCTTTGGAGACTTTCTTTGACCCTCCAGGAAGGCAAAAACAGCTTTACCCAGGCTCCGGAGGCTGGAAAAAGCCTGTTCCTGGCCTTCCGGATCTTCCAGGAGGTCCATCTTTTGCCCTCCCCGAGCCTCTGTGCAGACCTTGTACTTATCTGGCATTCAAAACGGGCCACATGGGGGAATTCTGGGAGGGGTGGGCGGGGCCAGCCAGGGGTGGGATTTGTGGGTTCACTGAACTCCACAGAATCTTAGCTAGAGGATCTCCCGAATCCGTGTGAACCCGCAGCAACCCACCCCTGCCTTTGCATTCCTTGCTGTTAAGCCTCCTGTTGCCTCCTTGTCAATCTTATTGGTTTGCTATAATATCAGCTAATGTAAAGTGCACAGTGCAGGATAGTCAATTACAGAAAACAAGCACAAAAAGCTTTTGGCAATGTGAGATTCTCCAGATTGTAAGTCCTAATTTTCTAGCCTTAAAAATGCATATGTTTCCAATAGCGATAACTTGTAACAAAAATTCTTAGAAAACAATAAATAACCAGGTCTGTAATTTGAAGAATATTGATTCATAGTTTATGCAAACAAGTTCATCAGTTTTGATTCCATCTACACACAGTTATATTGGGCATTTCTTTGTTTCTAAAGAACCAGAACATGAGGTACGAACATTAATTCTAACCTTTAACTTCATTCCAAGATGTAAACATACAAGACTGGTAAGCAATAAGATAAACATTTTTAAGTTAAAAAATAGAATTTATGAATGTAATAAATTTAATACAGCAACAGGAAGAATGCCATGGCAAAACTAAGACCATAACTCACCTGCATAATAAGAAAATGTTCTTTTGTTTCTATCAAACACAAACCATCTTTTTTTCCATGTTTTAATTTTCCCTCCCATCTTAATAAGAAAGCCCCGGCAAGTCTTCTCAGTGAGAGAGACATGGTAACAAGTCTCTATATTATGGCCAGCTGTCTCTATGTGGCCACGCAGATCAAAATCTTCCTTTCTGACTGGCAAATAACGAGTCAGGGGACGAGACTAAAATAAAGATACAATTAATATTGTTATTACAATTTTCTGTCTTCATTATTACAATTAGTCCAGTTTTTTTCAAAAACTGCATGGCATTACAATTCTTCCCTTTTAGCATAAAAACGTTATGCAAAGTGTAGGAAAAAAGATGTGTGTTCTTAAAGAACCACTTCAACTGCATTTAGCTTAGGTTTCTCCTGACATCTCCCCTTCATGTTTCATCTAACAAAATGAGAAGTATGGTCTATAGAGAGCCATTTTAGCTTATTTTAATAAATGTAAAATCCTCACAATAGACAGCATGTTATCTACTAATTGTTTACATTTGCACATTTAAAATAATCAATTTTCCCATCTTCTCAGGATAGAAATCATCTATTTGCCCTGCATTTTCATCACTTGTATATAACCTACAATGTTATCTCTACTTTTTAATAAAAATAGCTATGCTGGTCTTTGATAAGTTTGATAAGTGTAGACTTCTACCAAGGTCTTTCTCATCTTGGTCCAACAAAATGATCTATTCATACGTAGGAACTTCTTCTCTTCCTTCAAACAGCTGTATTTTCTCTATTTCAAGATATTACATACCTGGCTTCTCTGTTTTTCACGTATCTTAACTTCTTTTTCAATTAATTTTTGTCGCTGACTAGTTTCTTCTTGTAACCTTTTTTCTAACTGTTCTCTGCGACGCTTTTCTTCTTCTAGGGCCTTTTTTTTAACTTCCATTTCTCGTTCCTAAAGGAATACAGGCAATTTAACATAAATGAACGTTCTCCACTTTTTTTAAAAAAAATAGTTTTAATACAAGTTGATCTAACTTAAATGTACTGTTTGCTAATCTACCTTCCAGTTTCTGAGCCCCGGTAAATGGAACAAGTGAAAGTGGTAAGAGTTTTGCCCCTTTTTCATCTTCCTCAGATTTGGATGATTATTTCCTGTCTATCTCTGTATATGTGCATGTCTCCCATATCCTTTCTGATTGTGTGGAGTTGGATATTCTTGCTTCAGCTTGGGGCAAGGCACTGAGTTGCATTTATTTTTATGATAAAAATGACAGCAATCATGGCTCGTCTTTGACACTCAGTAAAAACAAATAAAAATAGAAAATATTAGCAAACATCTGAAACACAAAAATACCCACTCTGCCTTAGGGCCTGGGGTGGTTTTGCCCAAATCATAAAGTTTTATTTCTATCAACATTTTTGAGAATCACTGGATTATAATACCGATTATAAAATCTATTGAGATGTTTATTTTTAAAAGCTGTTGAAGTTGTGGTTTAAATACAAAGATAAATACTGGATGGATCTATGGTACAATTAAGGATATATATCTACATGTGTAATACTCAGGTTTACAACTATCATTAGGCATTACAGATAGCCATCAAAACTTTAATTTTGGAGTCTTGATAACACATAGTTTGCATCCTCCTTGTAATGATAGTTGAATAACACAATAGGATTCAATAAAAATAGCTGTTAAAGCAGATTTAGGATTAATATATTCAAGTTCAGTATCAATATTGTATTAAGCCAGGTTATTTAAAGACTTCCAAATATAGATCAAGTTACTGTTTCTCTTAAAACGTAATCCAAATTTAATGTCCTGAATATTCAGACTGTCATTTATTCTCTAAAACGTGTATGTAGCTAGATAGGGGGAGTTGTGTTGGTTTAGAAAAGCAGACTCAACATTTATTTGTTTAATCATATTTGTTATATTTACTTTTTATAAGTTTTCCAATTATACTGATGGGATTATATGAAAGATTAAGGGCAAAAATCATTTTGTTAAACTTCACTTGGATGCAGGCAATTTTCTATTACGAGAATTTTCCAGGAATTTTCTTTACCTCTTTTTTGTAACTAACAGGTTCCATAGATTCAAAAAACTTCAAAACTCCTCTTCCAAAAAGTTCAAAGCAAGATAAGCAGCATTCTCTCTCTCTTTTATTCTCAAAATAACTTTATATGGTAGGCTGCACTGACAGAAAGTCGTTATGACCTGAATATTTCTGGTGCCAAACCAGTATTCCAACCACCACAGCAAATATAGGAGATTGATTCCTTTCTCTTCAATGCACGTGTTATTATAGATATCTCTCTTAGACCAGAAGCTTTATTATTCATGTCCTTAAAAATAAGATTATCTCAAGCAACAACTTAATTTGCTTATTTTACAGACTAGTTTTGGATTATATTGCATATTTCTTATTAATCTATAATAAATAAACCTGGGTATCTGTACACTTTTAAATCTGTGTTGGCTGATGATATTGAAGTTAATTACAATGCAAGTCCTGTCAACTTCTATCAAAACATACTAATTTCAAAATCTAATGAACATACAACTTCAACAATGGAATATCTTTGAAGTTTCTATGTATATCATTACCCTGGATTCAAGCAACCGTGTCTTCTCAGCATGAGCTTGTTTTAAAAGTCTTTCCATCTCTTCTATTCTTGCCACATTTGCAGTACTGGCACTGTAACAAAAACCAGTAATAATAACTGAAATATTTGAAAAAATATTTCAATCCATTAAAATATATTTCTAGGCTTTTTTTGTTTTCTATGTATTTCCTTCAGTGGAATTACTGATCAAAAGGAACTGTTTAGCCAACTTCGTATTTTTCCACCCAAGTACAAAACAGCAAAGAATCAATCAATCAGCAAAAATACCTAAAACAAAGAGCAAAAATGCAGAACAATTTTTGTCAGATTAATCTAATGGGTGTTCAAGTAGACCAAGATTTTAGTTATAGACAACATGATCTCAGAAGCTTCCAAATAAATCGGTGCTGTAGATAAAATGCTGTTTCTAGCAAAATCATCATTAAGAATACAATTTGTGGTAAGTGTCAAGTGAAATTATTATTTATGTATTATTTAATCTTATTACTCTTCAGCTAAAAGGATTTCCATTGAAATTATACACAGGGAAATGTGACACAGAACAAGAAATGGAAGGAAGTAAAAAATACTAGCACTTAAAGTGACTTATATTACAACAATCAGTCAAGATGGAAACATTTCAGGTACTCTGATGAAATGGCTGCTAACTACTGGTGGGATTCAAATAATTTAACCACTGTTTCTCTAATGACTGGCTGGGTGGGTATGGCCATGGTGAGCATGGCCAGGGGATGTAACAGACAGCATTTGGCCTCCTGACCCCCATGGGAGCAAAAATGGGCCATGGGGAGGCGCCGTAACCCCCTGCAAACTGTTTTGGACCTAGTAGGCCTCCCTGCACTTACCTGGGAGCCAAAACGGGGTGTGTGGGGCCTTCTAGAAGGGGTGGGATGGGGTCAGCCAGCAATTTAACACCGGTTTGGCTGAAGTGGTGCGAACCAGTTGAATCCCACCACTGCTGCTAATTAACAATGAATGAAATACCAGAATTAACTGGTCATTAAATAGACAGAAGAGATGTAATATTCCCAATTTCCTATCTTCTCAATTACAATAACTATATATATATATAT